TATTATCCCCTTGTACTTGTAAATTATGTATCTTCTATCATCCTGAGAGGTATGTATGATATGCCAAATGTGAACATTAGGGTGTATGCATGTGCTGCTCATGTCATTTACCCCTTTTTCCTTTTTCACTTCTTTTCCGTCTCCCCAACATGTTAATGTCCTCTGGCTAAATCTGGAAAAAGATGGAGGGAGAGCTTCACATTGGAAAAGTCCGGATTCAACCTAGTTTTAGTTTTCTGGCAACTTAAACAGCTCAATCAGTACAAAAAATCAAATGTTCCTATCAAACAACTCAAATTAGTAGAAAAGGAAAAGAAGGGTCATAGGTAAGGGAAGAAGAAAAAGGAAGAGAAAGACCCTTCGGGGTGGCCCAGTGGTTTGGGCTTGGGACTTCCATGTTGGAGGTCACAAGTTCGAAACCCCTTGCCAATGAAAGCAAGGGGTTTGCCTTCTGGGTTGAGCTCGTCACACCTGGCTTGTCTAGTGTGGGTTACCTCTCCTGTGTAGTTTGCGAGCTATAACAATGGGGGTTTTACCCTGTGCGCACTAAAAGGGTAGCGGCTGCGGGTTTCCCTTTGTCTTTGTCATTAAAAAAAAGAAAAAGGAAGAGAAAGATTAAGAAAGCATTAAAAAAAAGAGTAGGATGGTATATATAATAGAAGAAATGCTACAAAAAATAAATTTTTGATTCTTTTCACCTCAGGCGCTTTAAGAGAGTAAATACTGCACGTCACGTGGTGTCTCAATGTTGTAGTAGATACATTTTGGACAAGAATGAGGAGTAATAGGCCTCCCGCAAAGTTTAAGCGTGTAGTGGGATTGGGGGACTAATTGAGGAGAGTATTTATATATTTTCCTTTCTAAATTGTATTTTCTTTTCCATTCACTGCTCTTCTGTTCAACTTTATCATTCATTTCGACTTAATGTCGTTCATTTTGAGCTTTTAGTTTGTTACCACAGCATCAAAGTTCATCAGTTACATTGTCTATAACCATGCAGGATGGTCGCATTAGTTACGAGGAATTTGCTGTGATGATGAAGGCTGGTACGGATTGGAGAAAAGCATCGAGACAGTATTCTCGTGAACGATTCAACAGTCTCAGCTTAAAATTGATGAGAGATGGCTCGATACAAGTCGGAAAGGAGGAAGGTAGATGATCAAATGCAGAAGAAAAAGAAATGTCAAAAGAGGAAAAAAGAAACTCTTCTCTTTGCTGTGCACTTCAATTTTTTTGGCTTCCTCCCCTTTGAGCTCTATAGGATTGAGGTGTGAGGTCGGCAACCTGTTACATCCTAGGCATCTAACAAAGAATTTCTGAGGTCTTTTACCTTGTTGTAAAATGTAATTACATGTATTGGTTATAAGCTCATTCTTATTATAAATTTTTTTAAGGCTCATACAAATCATTGTAACTCTCCTAAGATTGAAACTTAGATGTCAGTAATGTATTGATCCGGTCGGTCATTTTGGGAAAGCTTCTTGAATTTACCATTTTGCCCTTCCTGTTATCAACCCCGAGAATTTTATGTTTAATTTTTGAAAGTTGGTTTCAAACTTTGAGATTTAAGTTGAGAATTTGGTAAGATTTGTGTTTGAAAGGCTAACTTTGTTTAAAAGAGGTTTTCGGTGTCTTTTGAAGTTTCGACTGTCGGAATGGAATTCTGTCGATTCCATTAATCTCGGAATGTGGAATATGGTTTGAGAATTGTCGGTTTTAGATTTGGAGTTCTTTTGAGGATTTGAGGTCCTAAGTTATGAAACTGTGGAAATTTAGCCTTTGGTAAACGTTTGGGGTTTAGATGGTCAGATCAGAATTTCGAGAGTTTTGTTGGATTCGGGGGATGATTTTAGGCTTAGGTAAGGTGTTGGTTGATTTTTGAGAGGTATCAAGCTTGTTTTAGCCTTTTTAGGTGTTAAGTTAGTTTCTTGTGGTTTTCACGGATGTTGGGTCAAGGAGGCCTCAGATTCGTGTTTTGATTGTTCCATTGAGTCCGGAACGTTGGATGTAATTGATTTGCATATACGGGGTTCTGAACGAATCCTGAGAGTCTTTTTGATATTTTGAGAGATTGCTGGTTTTACTAATGTTTTGGTGCACCTCGCGACAACGAGGGATGGCTCGCTTTCGCGAAGGGTCAATTCCAGTCGACCTTCGCATCTGCGAAGGACCTCTTCTTTCGTGACCTTGGCGTTGGCGAAGGTCTGGTTCGCGATCACGATGTCCCTCACTTTTGCGGGGTTCGCTTAAGCGAACCCATGGTCGCAAAAGCGACATCAGGGGGGGGGGGGATATTTGACTTGCCATTTTCGGGGTTTAAGCCCTATTTTCTATTTTAAGCTCAGGAAATCCCTGGAGGCGATTTGTGAAAGATTTTCTTGTGTTAAATCATTTGGGTAAGCTTTTATGACCCTAAAACTTCTTCTCCCTTTGATTACTGAGGAATTTTCGCAAATTGCCACTATAATAAAGTTAATTATGCTCATAAGTATGCATATTTACGGGTTGTAGCTACACTTTAAGATGTTCCGTTTATATAATTCGCGGTTAAGTTTGTATAATTGCACTATTTTTGTATAAACTCGAAACAATGAATTTATACAAACACAAACACCCCAACTTTAAACAATTATACAAATTATATTATGCAAAAGTTATGCAAATTATATTATACAAAAGTTATACAAACGTGCGAATTATACAAACTCGAAACCCTAGCCAACGTAATTATCATTGAATGTTGGTCGCGAGTGGTAATTAACTAAAATTGTAGCTATGATGATTAATTAACTAGTATATGTTTGCTTAACCATGTAATTTTCCCTTGATTATTTATGAATTATAACATCAAAATTTGGATTTTGATTGGTAAATGATAGGGTTTTTCAAGAACTCAAGTTCTTAACTAAAATGGAGATTGTAAACTAATTTTAAGTCCTTTTTTGAATTGATTTTCACCAATGAGTTCCTAAGGCCTTGAGTAATATTTTCAAGTATTAAATTTCAGATTCAAACCTTATTTTCAGAGTTGGGTTTTGAGTTGATTGACCCATTTTTCAAAGAAATTAATGTGAGTATTGTTGTTTTCGGAAATTTATTGTCAAAAGTTGATTGCTTTTTATTGTGTAGCTTTAGAAATTGATCGGAAGGGGAAGACTCAATTTTTGAAGTGATTAATTGATTGATTTAAGGCAAGTGATCTCCTAAATCTTGTATTCTAGTAGAATTCGTGTATTCCCTTCGTTGTTTGTGTGTTGGGAGTAATGGGGATGAGGTGAATGATTAATTGTCCACTTGCTAAATCTTATTGAATAAAAAGTGATTGAAATGAAAAGTCTATGCGATGATCATGATGATGTAATTGCCTTGTTGTGACCCTTATTGATTGATTGATGAAATGCTTGATAGCATGAATGTAGTCTTGAATTGCATGAATTGTTGTCTCTTCCAGGTTTTAGTTTTGAGAAAGAGTTTTAAACATGATTTGGGTAAAAGTATAAGGGAACTAAGTATTCTCAAATGTATCACTTTTTAAATTGAGAAAAGAGAAATTCTAATTTCTAAATTAGTTTGTGAGTTCAGAGATATTTCAAAGCAGTTACCTCTTTTAAGAGGATATTTTGAGCAATTATCTCCAATTGAGAAAGAGTATGTTTTATACATTTGAGCATGAGTATATATTTATTGGGAGTAGTATTGAGCACCGCAATGAGGATGAGTTCAGACAACTCACATTCCTCATAAATTATGTAGCCAACATGGGTAAAAGATCGTAATTTTTAGACAACTCCTTATTGCTTTCGAGCAGAGCTTTAGTGGATCCACTTAATTGAGATGTTCCATATTCAGGCAATGTATAGATAGGACAATTTTGGCAGCGTGGGTGAAACGTCGTATCATCACGTTGCTTATAGTGATGGTTGTTGGTTAGAAAATCTCTTAAATAGAGTTATATGTGTATTTTTATCATATCATCAGTCATTTCGCTTCGGCTATATCACATACTCGCACATTCAATGTACTGATGTCATTCAACCTGCATCTTTTTATGATGTAGATACATGTGTTTAGGATCATCAACGGGTGCTTCGTTGAGATCACTTTGCACTTCCCATTTGAGAGTTTTGGTGAGTCCTCCTTGCATTCTGGAGGGCCCTGTTTTTCATTTCAGTATTTACTTTGGGGAGTCGAGGGTCTTGTCCATACGTCCATGTTGAACTTAGAGACTTCATAGATTGCTAGAGTTAAGTTGTTTTCATAAATTCTCTTTTTAAAGTGTTTTGCGAATATTATATTTTGCTTAAATGAATATTTGAGACAGTTGAGTTATATTTTTCTCTTTAGAGCTTTTAATTTGCTTGAGTGAAATCTTCCACTAAGTAGTCAGCCAGACCGAAGGTTCACTTGGGAGCTAGCAATGGTTCGCAAGTGCCGGTCATGTCCAGGGTGTAGACTCGGGGCGTGACAATTCTCACCAGGCGTGTAGCATTTCAGTCAAATAGAAATTCTTTTTCTAGGCACAAGACAATAGACTAGATCACTTTATAACCAACTAACAGCAATTACTTCAGCTATAATGTTTTTAGTGTCCCCAAGCCTAATGCCTTTTATTCCCACCACATCACCATATAACATTCCCATCACAAGCAATAAGATATTTATAGGCTCTTTAGAAAATTAACAATCTGCGCTACAGGTATCAAGTGATGTCCGAACTAACTTGACTAGGACTATTTGATCGAATACTTATTACCTTCCTAGCTAGCTTCGAATTCATAGAAACCACTAGAATCTGCCATTACAAGTTAAGATGGAAAGAGAACACTAGAGTTAATAGTTATACAGCTAACGGCACAAGGCAAACTTTAGATTTAAACCTATGTTGTGTCCATTTATTGAGATCAACTACTTTTACCTCATCATCATTATTGTTCACACTTTTGAGACTCAGTGTACTCACATATATTCCCTATTGGACAAACGTCTTCATTTCAGGGCATTCATGAATCCACACGAAATTCAAGAGCACGCTTGGCGAGAAACAAATCTGCCATCTTTGGCCGCCTTTGAAGCTTTAGCTCTTCCACAATTTGACACATACAATATTTCAAGTTTGCTGAAGTTGGCAGTTGGAAGTTGAGAACATAGAGCAGTTATTCTGTTAGCCCCAACGACGATTAGCTCTTCCATGTCATATGATAAAGCAAACACACAAAATGACAAGAAAATATATCGTTGATCCTTACATATGCAAAAAAAAAAGAAAAGATAAAGATTGTTTGAGTTCTACAGAGGCCAATCACGATAGATCAATAAAAACTATCAAACATCTTTTCCAATTACATTCTATCTTCACATATAAAAGTGCCAAATTTCTCCAGAAGTGCATTAATGTATATTAGGAATGTAATCTAGCCAGTTGTAAGTTCTAACAACTCTTATTTTCTAACATAATTTCAGCTCGAAATCATCAAGTTCTAGAAGTTCATTAAACCACTCATCCCACCTGTTTAAGGAATCATCATTTGAACTCGGTGAAGCTACAAAAGGAACTTCAGATGGCTGATGTATGACTGCTCCTTGAAATAATTCATTGAAATTTGCAGACAAGTCCCCTGAATCCAACACATTGGAATGACGTTCCTCGTTGAAGTTCATTGTAGTAGCTGGCTGAACATTTGAAGCTTGTTGTGTTTGCGATTGATAGTTCTGCATAAGGTCAGGAAAATGAAAAAAATTCAACAAAACTTCGAATCATAAATTAGGATATCTCATCTACTTTTTTCATACTTGGATACCTTTAGATGGCAGGTGAGCTGTTCCATAGTCAAGTCCGGCACACACATCCTCTCCATAACATCTTTAGGATGGGCTAAATCGACATGGTAAGACAAATAATGAGAATTCAATAGTAAAATTGTGAACATACAGAAAATGTCTACTTAAGATTATCCTTAACCAACGTTCTTTTTTTTTCTACTTATCTCTGTTCGGATAAAAACTAAGTCTTTAAATACTTACCTTTTTCTCCTAACTCGTGCACAGCCTCGTCTAATTTCTTATCAAGATCTAGTGTCCATTGCAAGTGTCGTCTTTTCTTTTGTGGTCTTTCTGTAGTTATTTTCGAAAGCAAAGAATGATTTTCCTCTATTTCTAAAGTACCGCTACTTTTAACTTGTGCCTCCTCATTAGTACTTCTCGCTCTCTTAGACCTTTTTGCCTCGGCCTTTTCTATTAAAGAACCTACTACTTGATCTTGACAAGTCTCAGAGCAATTCGCTATACTTTTTCCCTTTCTGTCTTGCACTTTCTTAGGACAAGATGTATTGTCCATAACATAAACTTGATTAGCCTTGTAGTGTTGTGATATTTCATTTGCCTTGTTATTGTAGTTCTTCACATGCTTCCATACATCCTTGAGTTTCATTGATGAAATGGACGATTTTCGAAAAATTAAGCATGCCCCTTGTGTTGTTGCTTCTTTTACCATTTCTATCGTCACCTCTGGAGACATCACTAAACCAAAAATGAAAAATCAGAACAAAACATTAAATGAGGTATCCAGAATTATCGAGAGAAGTTAGGGGTGTGTTTGGTACGAAGGAAAATGTTTTCCATGAAAAATATTTTCTTGGAAAACAAGTAGATTTTGACTTATTTTCTCATGTTTGGTTGGTGAGTGAGTAGAAAATATTTTTCAGAAAAGATTATAGTGTTTTATTTATGAATGAAAAATATTTTTGAGAAATATCTTTTATTTTTACTGAGTAGAAAATAATTTTTGAAATTGAAAATAATTTTTAAAAACAAACTCAATTATTTTTTATGGAGGGGGGGGGGTGGGTGTCGAGGACCGGGTGAAAAAATAAAATTTTGAAGTTGAAAATACTTTTTAAAAACAAACTTAAAGTTTTTTGGGGGTGGGGGTAAATGTTTTGAAAAATGTTTTCCTAAAGTTTTGAAGGGAAGTCATTTTTCTTAAATTTGAGGAAAATGAGTTGATTTGGACAATTTTTTCCAAAACATTTAACCCAATCAAAAATGAGAAAATTGAAAAACATTTTTCGGAAAATGTTTTCCTTTATACCAAACACACCCTAGATGTTCATAAATATATACACCACGTTTGTAAGGAACATATATAAATATAGAATTTGACCAAAAAAAACATATAGAGAAACTACAGGTAACATTAGTGTGTTTAGAAGTCGATTTTTTTGACATTATTATTAAAGTAGATAAAGTTCAGTAATGATGTGTGATATTAACACGTTTAAATACACTTTTGAATTATTGAATAGTACACACTAATTAAGCCACATAAAATAATTAAGATTTTGATAAAATGATCTTACAAATGATAGGTTTGTCTTTGATGAGTTGAGCGGACTTGATGAACTCAAGGTAGTTCATTTCAGGCATGTTAACATCCACCATGACCAAGTCAAATTGGTCGATCTGTTCCCGGAGAATAGATAGAGCTATAGTTGCTTGTTCGATTGCAGTTACTATATAAACAAAAATCAAACTCAGAAAATATCACAAAAAAGTTTTATATATTGAGAGATATTTTCATAATAATTAGTAGTATACCTTTACTTTCCTTTATGTTATTATACGGATAAAGGTAGTATGACCTGACTAATAATATTACATTAGAAGTATATATACATGAATATTTGATTGATACTAAGAGACTAAATCATTCAAGTCTTTGATAAGTTAATTAATTTAATCTTGTTGCCAAAGAGTTCAATTGATTCTTTTCCATTTAAAATACATCTCAGTTAGTATGTTGATAAATTTGACGATTAAGTGAATGTATTTTCATAAGATTGAATATATCGATAACCTTTTACACTTGATAATAAATTTTCTTTAGATATTTAAACTACAACATGCTCTGATTGAGCATTTAAACAAATGATAAAGTGTTTATGTTAGACAGTTCAAATTAAATATTTAGAAAAAACTTATGTTCTCAAACGTCCATTAGGTAGATAATTTAACTATGTCACATCCATTTGTTATGTTCTGGAGAATCATAAATGACAAATTTCAACCACAATTTATTGAAACAACAACAAATACAACAAATTCATTCAACACTAGTGTAATTTATTCATCTATACCTACGCTAAGTCATACATGATTGAAACACATGTTAAAATTAACTAAAAATTTTAGGCATGTGCATCAAATATCTTTTTGCCAATAAAATAAACTTGTTTTCTTCTTCAAATTTCAACCTGAAATTACTCCAAATAAATTTAGATTCAAATTTTATGTTTCATTTATGAAAAAGAAAACAAACCTCAATCATCAATTTTACGGAAATTCACTTCTTTCAATATAAAATATAAGTACAAATTTTATGTGGAAGATCCAACAAAAATTAGGGGGAAAAAGCTCCAACACATAGCAGAGAAAACTAACAGAGATATAATATTGTCATACCTTTAAAAGAATGTTCTTCAAGAATTGTTGTTATATTTGATAAAGAAGTTGTATCATGATCAACCAAGAGAATTCTGAGGCCAATGTAAGCTGAAGGAACATTTACATTACCAGTTATCTCACAATCCATCTTTTAGCCTATGAAGTTTATGAGAGAAAAAAAAAATAGAATTTTGAATTTTTGTTCTCTTTCTGTGGTTTCTTTTCTTTTTTTTCCTACCACCTTATACTAAATGAAGGATAAAATTTGGACAATTAGTTAATGGAGATGGCAAATATCAGATTTAAAAAATCTACTTTTATAGAAAGTCAATAACCAGTGTAGTCAATATCTTAGGGAGGTGTAATTAAGCACGATGTTGATAATCTACCAATTTGTGTTCAAAATCATTTAATCTTGATCTTGTTTAATTTACGCGATACATATGATATCAATTACTCCCTCCATTTCAATTTGTTTTTTAGTCCATTCAAAAAAGTTCATCTTTTTCCTTATAAAGTTGTTAGATAAATTTATAGTCACCACACACAAAGGTGTAAAGAAGAGAATCATCTAAAATAATATATTTTATTTCAAATCATCTCAAATAATAGCAATCATGTTTAATAAAAAATAACAAAATCCACCCATATATATAGGGAAAACCTATCCCTAATGGAATGAGATTCAAATTATACATTTATCGAAATAATAACTAGAAAAGTTTTTAATTAGGAAATTTTAAACTAGGAAAACTTTTAAATAAGAAAACTTTGGCTTTGAACATTAAGCATTAGGGACTGGCCCCCTTTTGGGCTTTATGTGACCCAATCTTTTTTATTTGGGCTAGCATTTGGACACTTCTTTCTAACAGAGGATAAGTCATGTTCAGTTAATTTAGGCTTTAAGTTTGTATAACTTATTAAGGACAAGTCACGTTAGTTTATCTGTTCCTATTTTCTAGGAGTTAGGTGTCATGCCCCAAGGCCTACCCCCTTTACGTAAACACAGGACCTAGGATCACGAGTGATCCCAAGCTAACCCTGAGCTGGCATATAAGCATACTAAGATAAAGTGAGATAAGAAATACTGTGCAGAAGCTTAAAATCATAATTATCTGAAATGATGGGGAATGCCCAATACTGTCTAAATATAAAAGGCTATGAGTTTAATAACAATTGGAAGATCAAACTCAAATACTAAAACTGAATCTAACTATGTCCGAATAAAAGCCTTTAACTGACTAGAGATGCTGGGACATACCCCCAGCTAACTTTAGCAAAACTGAAACTAAAATGAAAGAGTGAATAAATAAGAAACATGTCTGTCGTGCTCGAAGAATGAGGACTCACCACTGATATTGCTGAATATGGATCGGGAACCGATCTACACATATCTGAATGCTGAGGACCTCATGAACCTACATCACGAAAAGATGTAGCACAGAGTATGCGTTAGTACTTGAAAGGTACTGAGCCTGCAGGATATGATAAAGCCGAACAAATATATATAGTTGAACAAAACATACTGAGCAATGATATAGGGTGTGTTTGGTATGAGCATATTTTCTCATGTTTGGTTGGGTAAAATGTTTTGGTAAATCTTTTCCAAATCAACTCATTTTCCTCAAATTCACTGAAAATGACTTTCCTTCAAAAAGTAAGGAAAACATTTTCCAAAACTTTCCTCCAACTTCAATACAATTTTTTTTGTTGAAAAAATAAATAAAGCTTTTTTTAAATTATATTTTTCAACTTCAATTTTTTTATTTTTTTACCCCACCCTTACCTCGATTCCCCCCTCCCCCAAAAAAATAATAATTTAAAGTTTGTTTTTAAAAATTATTTCCAATTTCAAAATTTTATTTTCACCCTACCCCACCTCTACCCTCAACCCCCTCCCCCTCCCCCTCCAAAAAAAAATTAAAGTTTGTTTTTAAAAATTATTTCCAATTACAAAAATTTATTTTCACCCCACCCC